GTTTTGAATTAATAAAAAATTTATTTATCATATGTTTTTAAGATATGAAATAAAAAATATTAATTATATAATGACTATTATTTTTTATTTTTTAAAAGTGAAATTAACTTTTTATTTTAATTATAAATATTATGTGTTGGATTTTTATCAATTAATTTTTAAAAATTAAAAGTTATTTTTATAATATAGAATTTTCTATTTTCAAGAAAAAAATTATAATTATTACCTAATAATAACTTTTTATTTGAAAAACATAAGATAAACAAACTCATTAACAAAATAATTTTGATTTTCATTTTAAAATAAACTAATAAAAAGTTAATAGGTGTTATTTAAAATTAAAATAATAGTTAATTTTATTATTTTTTAAAATAAAAATAATAATTATTAATTAATAATTACTTCTTATCCTACATCAAGACACATAATAGATAAATTATTAAAATTAACTTAAATCCTTAAGTAAGAATCCATATAGGTAACATTTTCCAAAAATTATACTACAGTCTGCCTTGATAAGAGAGACTATATATACTTCTTAATTTAAGAACACTATATTTTTTTTATAATTATTAGTAAGAAATAAAATTTTTTAATATTAAAAACCTATTATTTTATTAATAATTAAAAATAATATAATTAAATTGCACCATAACACCCTCTAGCATTTTTTCTCTTAATATAAAGGAATTTCGAAACATAATTTTTTTTAAAGTCATTAACTTAAGTATTATGAGATAAATCATTGCATTTAAAAATTCAATTCAACACCTCCTAGTACTAAAAAAAAAAAAGTAAGTGTACCATCTTTCTCTCGCATCCTCTCCTCCCTAAGTCCTCCCCTTCTTTTTCTAGTTTCTTTCTCCCCTCATCGATTAGAGGATTAAATGTGATGGTTTCCCTCTTTCGTATTGGGTTTTTCTGTGACTTTTGTCCTCAAGTTTTGTGGTGCATGTTTTTTTTTTGAACTGAAGTTAAATGTTTTGTGGTGCATGTTTGTCTGGACATTTTTAAATGTTTTTACCAATTGGAGCACTTGTTCAGTTGTTGACATGTGACATGGTTTGGATAATATAATCCTTAATTAAGTCTTTTCATCCAGGAAGCTAGAGTATTCGGATGTGACTCGATGTACATATCACTATAAATAAAATAAACATTAAAAAATAATTTCATGCTTTTGATCGATCTCTATAATAAAAGTATAGT